TATATGATAAATACCCCCAATATAACCCATTTCAAACTACCAACATGATATAATTGAGTGTGGAGTTGGGAAGAAATGCATACAATTGGGCCTTCTATATATTCAAAACAACCCCATAAGATGTGTAGCAGTTCCTTTTCAAAATGATGCTAGACAGATAAGTGTTTTATCAAGGTTTCCTAAGATGGCCCCCCAGCTCTCAGCAGTCTTGGGGGATTGCCTCTGCTGAAGACAACTTCCTGACCTGAGGCTTTCCTCTTTTCAGGGTTAGCCCTTAACTACTGGTCAACCCAGTGGCATTAAGGTCCAGTTCCCTCATCCCAACTTGGGACAACTCTGAAGGATCATTGTTCTCCAGAGTTCCCTGGGGGGTTGGCAAAGGCCCATTTTGGGAGTGAATTGCTGCTTGGTTTCTCTTTCTATCCAATCTGGCCTCCTTCCTTGTTTTAGGCATTGAGCCCAAGTGTACTGTCTGATGAAAATTCTTGAGAGTCTCCGTGCCAATACCTGCTTCTTGGGGAGCTCTGTTTGTGACAGGTGTTCTTTCTTTTTGACCTTGGCCTGGCTGCTATTTTTCAACATTGCTATGGGGACTACTGAATGTGAGCAAGAGTGAGCAGGCCCAGGCCCACCTATTTATTAGACTCCCCAAACCAACCAGTGGTGGGTGAAAACCAAGACTCCGATGTTTTACTGACTGAATAAAGCTTTATTTTTAATGCAAAATAAAACAAGAAAATTTATATACTCATATATAATAACATCCAAAATGTTTTTTTTTCCTGTGGTACAAATGAGATAATCTTAAAAAGTTTGTCAAGAATTCAGTCTTCACCCCCATATGCCAAAATATGATTTCACATAATTTAAATGTATGAACAGACTTGGTAATCATAAAAGCACAGGAAACACTAGAAAAAGTGATGGTATAAACAACAGGTTTTGTTTTATGTCCTGGTAGTAAACAGCGCTGCGGATGAACAGAATATTTTCTGAAGAACCGAGTTAGGAGACAGGCTAGAAGAGTCTTTGAGGGTTGGTTCACTTCCTATTCTGAGCTCAGCAGCCAAAGCCCACCTTTAAAAGTCAGATTGTGTGTAATTATGTCACTATTTAAGGACATGAAGGAGAAAGAACTTCACTTAGAAGTCGTGGCTGCATGTGAGATTCTAAGCTTATTTTAGATATTTAACTTTTTTCTCCTTTTTTATCAGAAAGGTGACTTTGTAGGAAGATCTTATGGAGACTCCCCTCTCTGCTCTCATTGTGGCATAGTTTCCACTTAAGTCAGTGTGAACTGAGAGTGCAGAGAAATCCTATCGTGGCTATTTTTGAATCCAGCTTTCTCCTGCCTAATTGCATGAAGTCCGGACTTTCTGTTGCTAACGGACTTGGGGAGCAGTCAGGTGTCTACCCAATTTAACACCAATTTGAAGGGCATTCATTGTGGGTTTCAGAATTTAATGCCAAGAGGAACTTTACAGACTTGAATTCCTTTAAATACCAAACTCTCCAGGTCTCTTTACTCTTCTGAAACACTATGAAGTTCCTCCAAAGAAAATAAATGCTGCGGTTACAGGTTAGGAAAAATAAGCATCCTTTCCAGGCGTGATCTCTGTGCATATCAGGGAACAGAGAAAGAACTTCCCTGTCCTTCTGAATTATCAGAAGGTAGGTTAGATTAAAGATTTGCATGATTCTGTAGAAGAGGTAATGGGTCATGTTTTAATTTTATTTATTTGGTAGCAAAAGTAAAGTTGGAGTGAAGTTTCAAATCTCCTCTATCAGGGAGTATGCATGGGGCTTCTTCATGGTGACAGCAGATCTCTGGATCTCTACCATGCCATCAACATATATGTACCCAAGAAAAATGAGCCTCAGAATAATATTTTCCAATTTTTGTTTGGTACTAAATCATGATTTAAGAAAATGTTCCTGTTTCTGAGCTTTCCTCTCATCCACTAATTTGATATTGTAAGGAAACAATTTAAACCAAGAGGGATAGTGCCACAGCCTACTTGCATGATGGATTAACAAAATATTGTGTTTTTCTTGTGGAAGACCAAATTCTCCTACATTTAAAGGTTTTCAATGGTCTGTTCTTTTTTGTCTTTCTAGTCTGGCAAAAAAAAAAAAAAAAAAAAAAAAAAAAGAGAAAGATACGGCACCTTAAAATATCTCATGACAAAAAGCCAAACATCATTTTGAGGCCTCAATGACCAGATCCACACCATGTGGGTGTATGCAGACAGGTGTATTGGTCGGAATGCCACTCTATCCCATGGGGGCTATTAGAGTTCTATGCCACAAGGGGACACCTGACAGAATATTCCCAAGGCCATAAATACACTGGGAACTACTTGTGGTTCCTGGGCACCTACTGATTATAGCCTGGGCATCTACGCACTCTAAACAGTGTTCTCCTGAACGCTGGGAAGAGTCCTGTAACCTCTGGGAGGTGGCGACTGGAGGGGCAGTAGACAGGCATTTATGAAGCTTACATTTGAGTGGTTCTTAATTGTTGCTTGGCTTGATGGAGCCTCTGTCGCAAATACAATGTTAGTTTCTTTAGGGCAGGATCAAATGGAGCGTGTGTTACACATCAAGCAAGAAAAGATAACTGTTATAATCTATTTTTTTGGTTATTGTTCACTTTCATAGTTACCTTCACATCACTGACTGCCCCTCAGGATTAGCAGTTATTTTATTGACTGTGTACAAGACAAAGCCATGCTTTGGAGCTCCTGCTCCTGAACCTGTATGCAGGAGGAATTATGTGCCCAAGGTGGCACCACTGGGGTAAAAACATGGCATTCTGACTGCAGGGGCCACTTCTCCAAGACACAGAGTGTTCACCTTGCACCCCCTGGCTGTACTGAAGGTGACATCAAGAGAAGCCTTCTGGAGTGGCTATGTCCAGTAGTCTACAGATATTTGATTAAAATATGGAATATCCCAAAGAGTTGACTTTTAATGCTTCCAAACAAGTGACATTTCCCTCGTCTTATTGTTCTTGTATTTAAAGTTGACTTAGCTTAAGGGAAAGGTAGCATTCAGCACCCTGCACTCACCTGCACCACACCTTCAGGTGAGCAGGGCCAGGGAGTCCCAACCTCCTTGAACAAATTGCAGACAATTTAAGGGGACCTGCCTTGAGACAGATGACAGAGGACAAAAAAACCCAACTGGACTGTCTGCTCTTCAGAGGCCACCGTAATTGTGGTTTGGAAAATGCTAGCTCTCAAAGTCCAGTAACTAATACTCCTTAGGTCTCAAACCAGAAGTTGTTTCACTCTTGGTAACAAAATTCTATTTTAAATTAAAAAAAAAAAAGACTAAACTGGGACAGATGGATACTCTATGTATTCAATAATACTATAATTTATTAGATCCTGTCAGTTGGAGGTATTCTACACTCAGCCAAAATATGTCTAAATTGAAAGACTTTTTTGGGGGGAGGGAATGAAGAAAGAATTAAAAAGTCTTAAAATATTTTAACATCACTGTGCCATTCAAACGGCTGCTTCCCAGTTTTGCTGTTTCTCAATCTTTTGCTTGGGTTCTCATTTGGGTCAGGTGTAAGTTTTAGAAGCTCTGATTTTTATAGAAACCAGAAATAGAAAATAGCTACAAAGCTCAAAAGAGACTGGGATGGGTTTGGTCTCCTTGAGGATCTTAGAGGGCAGGGTTTCAGCTTTTCAAAGTCATAAGAGCTTCGTGTCTCAGTGGAGAGCTTGTCCATGCCGTGACTTTTGTTAATGAAATAAAGAAGATGCAGATTGATTTAATCACATGACTCTCCTCCTCCCCTCTGCTTCATTCATCAAACTTTCCAGAAAGCATTTTTATCTTCCATATTGGTAATCTCCATATCGGTAACCCCACATGTTTGAAAACACGCACACACACAAACACACACACAATCATTCATGTCTATCTACTACCTGCTGGTGGCCAATTTCCAAAGGCTACAGTCAGCTCCTCCCTGTCCTTGAGGGCAGATGGGTACTGTTTGGCACTGAGTCTAGAATTGGCATCCCTAGGGCATTGTTTCCCATGCAACCCAATCAGCGGGCTTTCACCCTCAAGTGGGAGCTTTAAAGTAGAGGGTCCAGTTAAAAAAAAATTACAGCCAGGAGATTTGGGGATGATTCTGAAACCAGCTATCTCCGAGCTTTGGTGCCTGGGATGTGGGAGGCAGGAAGGTGAGGACCCTGGGAGTGTCAGTGCTTATCACCCGATCACTGGTCCTTGGAATATATTCCTTCCAGAAGCTCCGACTAGCCTTGCACATTTTCCCAGGACACTAATACTGTATTCACATTTACCGACTTTGATATCAACAGCAAGGAAGCATGTGAAATGTTTACATTAAGTGAGGGAGATCAGGAACCTGAGAAAGATTATTAAGAAATGTAGTCTTCCTCTGGGTAGAAAAAAAATTTCAAGAAGGTCACTGGGCATGTTTGCTGATGCTTCGTTCTTGATGAAAAAACTACTTGGTAAACTGATTCCCACATCTGCAGCCTTGACTCTGACCCTCTTCAGGCAGCATGGTTCCAATAAAGGGTCGGAGGCCCAGCCTCTGAATGGGTAATGCTGCTGGCAGAGACAACCTCTGTATTGCCAGTTCTATGGTGATGGGGGTGCATGTTAGCTGGGCTGTCTAGCCAGAGGGCCACCATGTAGTCAATCTCATCATTAGGTGCTTATTTAGTTACTACTCTCTCTGAACTGACCAATTCTGAAAGCCTTTCAAGTATTAGGAAGTATCGCTTTTATGACCCCATCCTCCCTCTTCCTTCTGAATCCACCCTCACCCTAAAACCCCCTGTTCTTTATTTTCCCCTCTGATTAGCAGTCAATGTTACAAACTCGATGAGGAAATGCTAATCTGTACCATGGAGGATTCAAACAGGAAGAAGGCCTCAGCATCTAGGAAGGGCAGAGGCTGGGGTAGATGTCCTCCCTGCTGGGCTGCTCATCTCAGTGGCACTCAGCTATACGGCTGCCGTCATGGGGTTCTTCTGCCTGGGATCCTGGGTTCGGTAGGGGTACTGGTCGGGGCTTCCACCTCTCGGGCCCACTCTGCCCATTTCTTGGTAGGCTGGCACTCTTTGGTGCTGAGGAGGGGATGGTGGAACATCTTGCCGGAAGGGTCCTTTGTGCTGAGGGGCAGGCGGGGATGCGTAATAGTGAGGGTAGCGGAGATCTGCCACCCTCAGATCTGTGGGGCGTGAGTAGCTCCCTTTGGGAGGATGCCCAGGATGAAGCCCTGGGTAGTAGGGAAGCTCCCTTTCTTTGTAGAGCCCTCGGGGTGCTGCTGTCAGATAATCGGCAGGGTCTGCTGGACCTCCCCTGGAAAGAGAAGAAGAGATGCACATTAGCTGCTGCCAAGCCGGCTCCCCAGCTGAAGACCACATCCCGCAGTCTCCTGGACATTTTGCTGTAGCCAGGGACTCGTCCTGACCAATGGGATGTGAGCAGGAGTGACAGCTCACTTAAAAACAAGAGTGGGAAACTTCCCTTCTTTTCTTCTTGGCTGTTGGAGCAGCCATTTTAGACCTTAAGGCGATGATAACCAGGTGCTGAGGAAGACAGAGAAGCAAGAGGCGAAGCCCGAGTCCTCAACACAGCAGGGCCACCCTGTCAGCCAGGTCCTTTTACACTTGAACAGGTACTTGTGAGAGAAACACGATACTGTCTGGTTTATACTCTCTTATGTTGGCCTTTCTCACAGTAACTGAACTAGTGTCCTAAAGGAGGCAGTGAGCTTGGCTCGCTTAAGCCTGGGACCATTAGATCCTTCTGCTTTTTGCATCGAAGAAGCCTCTCTCTCCTATCAGGCTAAGTGAAATAAGCCAATCCCCCCAAACCAAAGGCCAAATGTTCTCTCTGATGTGTAGATGCTAACACACAATAAGAGGGGAGGGGGAAAAGAAGTTCACTGGATTAGACAAAGGGGAATGAAGGGAAGGGAGGGGAGATGAGAATAGGAAAGACAGTAGAATGAATCAGACATACTTTCTTATGTTTATAAATGAATAAATGATCGGTGTAACTCCACAGTTCAACCACAGAGTGGAATCCAAATTAGAATAAGTTATACTCCATGTATGTATAATATATCAAAATACACTCTACTGTCATGTATATCTAAAACAAATGAAGAAATAATAATAATAATAATAATAATAATAATAATAATAATAAAAACCTGTCTCAGAAATGGTAGCAGAAACATACAGGTGACTTGGAGTCATAAAGTCCCCACGAACTGCACCTGCTTTCCTTCTAGATCTGGGAGGTGCTCTTTCAATGGGCTGTGGTCCTGGCCTAACTCTGGTGGCTGCTGTCACAGCCCTGGGTGGATTAGCATGCCCTCCCCTCTACAGTCCCTAGGAAAAGTCCCGACCAGGGCTGAGAAATGCCCACTCAGAACTCTGATAAAAAATAATTACTTCCACTAAGAAGTCAAGAAGTTCCACCCAACCAGTAGTAGGGTGGAAAAATTGAAACCAGCTGTAAGCCACCCTGTGTAATGGGCAGGCACACAGAGGTCCAGGGCAAGAATAAACACTAACAGGAAGCGGCCCTGTCTGGATCTGTCTATTGAAGACAAGAAGCATCTTCTGATCCGATCACTACAACAGAAGCGACGTGTCTCTAGACAATGTGCAGATGACGGCATCTTGTCTAGCCTGGGGATAAAGGCATGACTTCTGTTCGCAGCTCTTAAAGTCCCATAAACGGTGCACATATTCACCACCATTCACCTTCCACTTTTACTACTCCCCCTTTTATGATTTTTTCAAAAAAGAAAACCAGCAACAATACTAATTAATGAAAAGCTCTCCAACGTCAGAGTACAGACTTGAAAGAAATGACAGGGCTGTGAGCGCACCGTGCCTGTGGTTAATCAGGCACTGTCAATAAGGGTCAAAATCACCCTGTAATCTGCAGAGCTGCTAAAACAGCCCCGTCCTTCCTCAAATCAATGAAGATTTGACAAGCTCCGAGCATGGGCACATGTGGAAAGCAGCCCACGGACACGTCTGTAAGGCTGAACAATAGTCTTTTCCTTCTACTTTTTTTTTGCGTCTTAATTTGGCTATGTATAATAATGAAAGATGGATGCTTGAGCTTTGGGGTAATTTAGTTAGTGAGAGTTTTCAGATAAAAAAATTAAACTGTTTATGTACAAGTTATTATAGCATCAGCTGCTATTATTCAGTGCAGTTTGCTTTGCTCTATTTTAAATTGCCCATGACAAATAGACCACAGATGCATCATCTGTCACTTTAGTCCTGGGAAATAAAGGAGCTAGGCTTCACCTTTCCTTTCCTTGAGAATTTTATTTTTGGTTTAGAAAATTTCCAGCACTCATTATATCTTTTATCATAAGGATTTTTAAAGCCCCTGCCACCCCTGCGCATTTCTATTTCCTTTTGGCTCAAGATTTTGGAAACACTTGAAAAAAAAAAATCCGTAACCTGTGCTTTCTCTCAAAACCTACTGAAGGTATTGCTCTGCATGAAGTGAAACATGTGGATTTTCTGCACTTATTTTAAGCCCTTAGGATAAATCACTGACATTTGCAACACACAAACATTATCTGCCTTGAAATGAACATACAACCCAAACTCCCTCCGGACTCTCTTAGCATGAATGTTTCCTGTTTAAAATGGGAAGAGTGAAAGGAAGAATTCCAGGCCTTGGACTTTTAGGGTCCTGTTCTCTCCCTAGAGATTTTTCTCTTTTAAAACACACCATTACAAAAGGCAGGCATGCTTTTTTTTTTTTTTTTAAATTTTTGAAGAGACAATCCAGACCAACTGGTGACGGGGCAGAAGCCACCCTGAACAACTCCACAGTGGCACAGGCAGCATGCACGAGGGGGATGGTTGCTATCTCATCTCCTCACACCTCGCCCCTCTAACTCTCCCTGCGAGGACAAGGGAGGCTTCCCATGCATAGAGAGGGTGACCTCCAGATAGTTCTGTGGTCCCAGATGGCTTCCTCTGAGGGAGACTGTGTGTCTGAGAGCTGATTCCATGTGGCAGAAACCAAGGGAGAGAGCTGGGCTCTGTCAAGAAACGAAACCATGGAGATTGTCCTTTTCTGTAGAACTCATTAGAGCAGTTATCATTTTTATTTTTTTTCAGATAAAAGAAAAACAATGAGTTGGTCTATAAAAGCACTGTTTAAGGTTCAAAGAGTGTTAGAAGAATTTTTTTTTCCCCTTGGGGTATTTGTGTGCTGTGCTTGTTCATGGTAACTTTTTTTTTTTGCTCAAAACTGAGCATTTCCTACTTCTGACAGAACAGCGTCGAGGTTCTGGTGTATATTGTCATGTGTGTGTGTTCACGTGCATACACACATATCATACTTGAAGGAATATTTAAGTTTCAGAAAATTCTAAACCTTTTATTATACATGTTAATTCATTAATTGTACAAATTAATGGGTGTGATTCTGACATTTCCATACAAGCTTATATCATATTTCAATTATATCTACCATCTCTACTGCTCTCTCTCATCCCCTACCTCAACCTGTCTCCACCACTTTTAGTTCCTCTACTACTTTCAGGTCATTTCAAATTTTTTTAAAGTTTCCCCATATGAAAGAAAATATGCAATCCTTATTTTTCTGTGCTTGGTTTATTTTGCTTAACACAATCACCTCCAGTTCCATCCATTTTCCTGCAAATGACATGCTTTCATTCTTCTTTCTGGCTAAATAATATTCCATTGTGTACATATGCTGCATTTAAAAAGAACAAATTTTAAACAGGAAAAAGAAACCCTCCTTATTAACTACAGAACTTAGTAAAGGAAGAAGAAGGAGCTGAAGTTTTTTGCTTTGTTAATCTAAAGTTTCCCTTTTTACAGTCTCTTTTCCTGTGTAAAATGTAGTGTTTGTAGGAAAGCACAGGGTCAATCCACTCCATGTCCCAGGCAGTGCTGACCCAGGGGCTGATGCTTTGTGCTGTGGACCCACCTTAGAAACCTAGGGCAGAATTCTCAGGAGACTTGGATTAAAAGTGGACCCAAGTAGTTAATGTATCAGTATTTGAAGACCCCTCATTTTTCACATGACCTGATGAATCTTATTTGTATTGTTATTTTTCTTAAAAAAAAGTTCCAATTTAAAATCTCAAACAGAAAACATATTTACTTTAAGGAAAGAGAAACAAATCCATATCTTTTCCCCCAACTCTTTAAAGGAACTATCATGAAAATACTTATCTTTAAAATTTTTTGGTTTCTTTTTATTTTTAAATAGGCTCATTTGTGGGACCCAGAAGATTCAGATTTTGCTTGGAAAAATCATAGAAATTATCTCAGGCATGTCCTTAATCACATTGAGGCATGTGATAATGAATGTTAACCCTAACCAAGCCCAAATGTAAAAAACTATGGTTTCTTTACATGGAAAGCAATAATAAAGATTATTGTCTTTACACATGGTTTTCTTGATTTTGCCATTGTACTATGCTATTTTTTTCACTGAGTGAAAAAAGAAGCTGGAATCAGGGTCTAAACTGGCTAGACAGCAGCCCTGGTCCTGAAGATCACCTTCATTTCATGAAAGGTTGGAAGCCCCTGCATTGGCTAATAGGATCCCTTTTGGAGAAAGGGCCTGGTGTTGGATGGCAGAGTCGCTGGCAAACTTTTTAGTAGGAGTGAGCTGACTCCTCTCACAGGAGTAGAGGGAGGGACGTGGATGATGTTGAATCCTCCCATCTCTACACCATCCAGCTGCAAAGAAAGCTTTTCCCTCTGCTCTCACCCACGTGGTCATTCTCACCTGCCTTTCACCTGCCTGCGATTCCCATACTGCACTGGAGCCTGGGCATCTGGAAGGCAGGCCCCAGATCTCAGGAGTCTAGTGATCTCCTTGGAGCTCAGCACAGGGCTTTGTAGTAGTAGGTGCAGCATGGATATATGTTGGATTTGTTTAAGAGAAAATCCACAAACATACAAGAGGCTTAGATGAGGGACAGAGGTGGCACAACAGAAGACTCGTTAGGAGCCAGGGACTGACGATGGTTGAAGTTAGACTGATTTCTGAGTACAGAGGAAAGAAGGTAGGGGGAAATAGTGGCCTGAGTAAAGGCTGGCTTGGGTCCAATATTAAAAGACTATAAACTTTATTAGGGTAGAGGTTATTTATCTCATTCACCAGGAATAAAATTATATTGTTTTGTCTCTGTTGTCTTGAAACATAGTACGTGCTCAATAAATCTTGGACTGGAATTTAATTATCTTGACTTACCAGTGAGGTCAGCATGACTAACGGGTGCACGGAAAATTGAAATTCCACATCATGTACAACCCACAAGAATGGGATCT